CCTTTTTAAAATGAATATATTATACAAAGGTGTCCGTTAAAATCTAATGACTGTAAAATAAAGTATAAATTACGCCAAAAATTATCGAGTATGTCAATATTTTTTGCACATTTGGGCCAATTTGAGCAATGTCCATTCACGGTTTATCGAGTAAGTGAAAAATAATAATTTTAAAATGGAAAATGCCTATTAACTATGTTAATGCTATGTAAGTGGCAAAATAATGTGGTTTCATAAACTGTAAACCTAGTTTTCAAAGCTAAGGTTCCAGGCCACGTTGTTTAAAACAGTAAAATTTTACTAACAGTCAATGTCACGGCAAATAAATATGTGTAATTTTTTTACAAATGGTTTTTTCCTATAGTATTTTAATTACCTATAGTCAAATTTAACTTTGTATCAAACAACGAGGCCTTAAAAACCGATTTTATTTTTATCATAAGTCGGCGTAGGGACACGATATCGAATCCAATACTTTACTCATATTAGTACTTTTGATTCGGTACTAGTACTTTAAACATTAGTTCGTAGTAGTAGTTTTATTAGAATTCGATACTCTGTACTTATATGAGTACTTTGCATCAAGTATCGAATCGTTCAATCATACTTACTAAACCCTACAACGAAACGCAACGTAGCGTAGTGTATGAAGTCAGCGTTTTAAACCGACGTTCACGCTCACGGTGCAAAAGATGTCAAATTTTACATATGTTTTATACATTTTATGTCAAAATTGAAACGTCAAGGTTAAAATTTGCGCTGATAAAAGATTTGGAACGCAAACGCACCGTATGTACGCTCAATCCTATTCTTTCTTTGGTCTGGTGTCGAGTTTACAATAATTAAAAAAAAAAAACGGGTAGCACTCCGGTAGTGCCAGCAGAAGTGAAAAGTTGAACATTAACGTTTTACATTTTTGATATTTTAGAATGGTCAGGGAATAGTTTTGCACGAATTGCTTTAATTGTCAGTATAAAAGTACTATCATTTATGTAGTAGAATACAATATTTATTTATTGCGCTATCGTACACAAACATGACAATTTATATTACATTAAAAAGTTTATCTCTCAGAAAAATCAACTTACATGAATCACATTTAAACGCACCTAGCGACATCTATTGTAAAAAAATGCATTTCTTCGCAATAAAGTTGCCACCTGGACGTCCTAATTAGAGACTTATTATTATAATACGATAAAATAAAATATTACTTATGTTTCGTCCAATATACTGAAAGTCAACAACCTTTCCAATTTTATTGTTTTCCTCTTACGAATTTTAGATTTGGTCACGTGGACACGTGACCTAATCAGGATGTTAGGACTGACGCGATCAGTCCACGTGTCCTGACGCGAGTTTAACAGTTATTGCCCATTACGAAAAAAAGTGTACAACGCTGCTAAAGAAGTTTACACTTCAAAATTAACATATGACGAATTTACTTCATAAAATAGACCTATTTATGGAGAGTTTACACATACTTTTTTTTCATTATTAATTATTATAGAAAATGTTGTTTGTTGATGTTTTTATTCTATTTTATTTGTGTGCCATGCATGCAGTGATATAATAGGTTTCGATACTTACTCATAACGATACTTTTACTCATTAAATACTTTTGTTTCGGTACCAATACTAAGTATCGATACTTTAGGTTTCGATACCGTGTCCCAAGTCAGGCTGCAAATTACAACGATGTCGTTGATGTCTTTTGAACTTCGATCAACAATTCTATAGATAACGGGGTCAGCGCGTAAAATCCGTCTCAGTAAATATAGCCTCACTTGAGCCGGGGGATCTTATCTTAAATTAGTTCGGTTAGTACCAAACTAAGTTACTCGCTGGCCAATGACTGGTAAAAATAAAATATTTTGTGAGTCATAAGGTTGATTTCACATTTTACTTTTCACCTTTATCGTTTTTTCCAAGTATCAGATATAATTTAAAAAAAGAAACAAGATTCCGTTTTTTAATATAAAATGTGGTATGTGCGAAATAACATTTTGTTATTTGTAACCTAATTCCTTTGTGAGATAGTTGTTATTAGGTTCATCTTCAACTGTTTTAAAATATTTATCCTTGTTCAGTGGGAATCGCATGTAGCTGCAAAAGTTTAAACATACGCGGACAGTTTTTAGCTTTTGCAGATTTTGTATACAATCAGTTATCTACAGAATAGTTGATCGAAGCTTTTGAACTGTTGCTCTTTCTTGAATTATGTTAAGCCGTTCGTTGTAGGCCAATGTGTGAAATCGAAATTATAGTTTCTGAATTATATTACTAGCTTTCCCTTCTATTATAATTTATATTAATTATGTTAAAATAATATTTTTAATATTATATATTAAACAAGTTGTCTATAATTCAAAATAACACATATTTGACTACTGTAAAAAGTATTTTGTTAGTTATACTATTCCATTATATAATATACATATATAATAAAGCACAATTAGAATATGACAGGTATAGAACCAAAACCACAAAATAAGACACAAAGATTTTCTTTTCCCATTCTCACTATTTTTTTAATTCTCACAAATAATGGAATTGAAAAATCTTACATCTATATGTAAGGTAGTAGATTAAAATGGTTTATATAGCACATTGTCAATCTCTACTCATGTATGGCATTACCACCTGGGGTAGAGCCGCCAAATTCAACCTTTTATGCTTAGAGCTATCCTGAAATTGTGTATGTTCAAGCCAATTCTCTTTCCTACATTTCAGCTATATCAAATTACGCAATTTCTCACTGTCTATTATATGCACTGTTCTAAAAAAGCATAAAGATAGAATACCATTAATAATAACTACGTGTCAAGTGTGACGCCCACCTGTATATGTATCTTCCATATTAAACACCTCTTTCTCTAATCGTTTCTATAGTTTTCTTGGACCATTTCCTACAAAAAACTAAGTCTAATATTGTCAATACATTTACTCCCCAGATTCTGCTGCAAGAAGAGAGTCAATTACCTACATAATCTTAACTATTTAGAAACTGAAAGCCTTATGAATTCTGTAATGTAATAAAATTATCTATTTTCTATGGGCTTGCCCATATTGTATATACGAACTACCTCACATATCATATATTGAAAAAAATACTGCCAACGTCACACACGCTCCCTTTATACAGACACACAAGCACACACACGCGCGCGCAAACACCACACTCACAAATGCACACCCACATACACTCACAACCAGCACTAGCATATACCTACTCTATCATGCAAAATCATATTAATGTAAACTAAAATTTATCGTTGTTCTCCTTTTTTTGCTTATGTAACACTTTCTTAAAGCGGGGAGAGGCTAGTGCACTGAGTCACAAGCGTCAGCTTAGTTTGGTCACCAGTCTCTCACAATCTTAGTCCTAAGTTTTATAATCTGTTACTTATGAAGCATGTTAAAGATTGTGGAGAGAAATAAAGTTTTTATTATTACCCTACATAGTGAATTAATGCAAATTACTATTCACAAAAGCAAATTTTCTTTACCATGCAACTATACTACTATTTTTATAATCATTTAACTGCTTGATTATTAAATATATAAAAAGAAAATTTCTGGTGAGAATCATTAAACTGGTCAAAACAAAGATAACAAATTCATGTTCAAGGTACAAGCAATTCAAACATAGATAATCACTTGAAGGTAGAGTAGTTCATATGTAACATGCACCAATTTATTAGATTGACTTTTGGTAAGATACATTGTTATTTACCGAAAGAAGACACTAAATTCATGTCATTTAATTCTACGTCATATACTAATATTATAAATGCATATATCCTGTATCTGTATCATATACCCTGTTCTAAATTTATATTTTCTATTATTAATTTTAAAGAATTAATGAAACTTAATTGTATGTTATGTCGTAAGAAAACCATTTCTATATCGTGTTACTATTGTAAAACAGACATCCTTTACGTCACACCAGCAATTACTTAAAGCGAGTTTACAGACATAACCTTACCTCAGTGAAAGTATGGGGCCAGTCCGCTCATACTAATGCTCGAAATGTTTAAAGATTCCGACACCACACGAGGTGGTTACACTTTTCTCCAATGATACATGTCCACCGTAAATAAGTCGAATAAATTAATGAACAGACGGAACATATTCAACCCTCGATAGTCATAGATTATGTGGCCCTGGAAATGGTTTTTGTGTTTCAAGACCTGCCTACTTATTATTATATAAGTACAATATCTATTTGAAAAAAGTAACATTTCAAATACCGTTTTCTATTCTTTAGAATATAATTACAACTACACCTAAAAAAGTTTGTCAAAAAGTATCGCATTATTTAAAAGTGTAAACTATATGCTATAATTTATACCAATATTATTTCTTATGTTTTCACGCACTCCAATCATTAAAAGAAACACTTAAAAAAATATATATACACGCTGTTTTACCTATTCAAAAATTGTTTCATTAATGTGCTAACAATTTGAATAAAAAAGTCTATATTATAAAAGTAAATACTTACACTATTAAGTTTAATGTTGGCTGTTTGATTTTTTAGCTGTGATGTGCTTTAAGAGAATACATACACCACGTTATAAATACTGATTCTTTTGATAACTTTCATTTTTGTTTGCTGAAAAATGGAATTACTTGCATTTTTTTAGCTCACTATAAAAGTCCAAAACGTGATCTTTCTGCAAATTTGATCAAATCCGATGTTTATTTGTTTATTTATTATATGGTTTACCACTGTTTGTTTACACATTACTTAAAACTATTTACAAGATTAACTATTCACTCTAGTGAAACAATCTATTAAGGTAAACACCGCATGCGTTAAAGTAAACGCCAAAAATAGGCATTAAGTTCATTACAATATTATTATTATGCACTTCCTAAGTTATGACGTTGTTCTTTTTAATTATAAATTACAATACAGTTTTCATATTACTATCAAGCTTAATCAGTTAGTTTGATGCCATGTTTGGGACAATATTCTTTTGAGGTTAGGAGGTGAATCCATAAAAATATCAATAATATCACTACTTTTTTGACAACCTTGGTATTGGGGAGTTTGAGCCATGTACTGTTTACTCAAAGAAAGCTCTGCGGTCGGTGATCTGTGGCGTGCGGCTGCCATCACTACTTTCCTTCCCTACGTGTGTGACGTAACTCTATAAAAGAGCGGGCGTTGAAGACGCCGCCGCTATATCGTTTCCGCCAACCACGGCCACAGCGTCCCGACCACCGGCACTGAAGGACGCGGGCGGCACCTCTTCCGCCGGATTTGTGACAGTTCCATTAATTCAAAAGGTGAAGTTTAGTGCAGTGATGACAGACACGTGTTGTGCTCGCTAGTGATAGTGTCGTGTTGTGACGAAGCTGACGCGTGACGAGAGAACACAAAAATTAAAGGTGATGTTTGTTTCAGATACGAGAGATGAGGTCGTTATTGTTTTTGGCGGCTTTGTGCTGCTTAGTTATTGCGGCGTGCGGAAGCCCTATTTCGCGGCAGGATGATGAGCAGAAGGAAGTCGGGAGGCAAGCTGCGGCACCCGCTGCGCCAGCGGCTTCCGCTGACGAAGACGAAGATGACGACGACGATGAAGATGACGATGACGACGTAGATCTTGCTCTTGGAGGTAGGCCCATTTACTACTTACACTTCAGAAATGCAGATAAATCGTTGAACAAATTGTCAAAACTCTTGAAACCGTTCATAAGAAGAAGTTTGAACTTAAGGAAATGTTTTTGTCTTAGATTTAAAACTTTTAAATTAGTTTACAATAAATTTAAAGAAAATGTAAAAAAGCAGCACAATGCTTAAAAATCAAAATATTTTAAATTAGTTTATAAAGTTTTGATTAGAAATATTTTAAAAGTTTTCCCTTATCAGCCCTGATTTGAAAATATTAGAATACATTGACCCACATATTGGTATTGGGTAGTTCATTAAAATTAATTTAATAACGACTTGGTTTGAGTATTTGGCACATGTTTGTTAATTATAAAAGTGGTTGTGTATAGAAACAAGAATTGTGACCGGTACTCGGTGGTTTTTACCGTTCAAATGTTGAGAAGCATAACGGTAGTACCGTAAATATGCATATGTGTGGATACTTAATGCAGCAAATAATTTAATATTTTTTTGTCGGTTTGTAAACCATTGTTATTGAGTTACTCTACTTTACGAGTTATGAATGCAAATTAAGCTATTATTTTAAGTGAAATTAAAATATTCAATGCATAGTGAGGTTTGTAATAAAATGTTTGACGTTGTTTTATTACTCTCTATTACAGACAGATATTCAAATGTGAAATTTTATGACTAGATTTCATTTGATAATTATTAGTAGTTTTAATAATAAAATTTAAACACCTTATTAAGATAACACTATGGTAACTATCTATAATTAGGTTAAAGGGTTGTATCAGACCTTGTGTGAAAATAATATATAAAAATATCTGCTTTTTACAGTAGTTAAAATAATACATAGAAAGTAATACGTTGTATCAATAAAAAATCCATAAAACTAGGCCGGGGCTTGCGCGGAATGTAAGTCGAACAGCGTGACAGCGTTCTAAATAGCTAATTAATTCAAACAGAAAGACTCAATCAGAGAAATTGACGCCTGCTTTCTAGACGATAGCCTCGCCAAGCAGGACGTCACGCACCGAGACGCGCAAGCGGCGCGTACGCTAATTAACAGTTTCCTCAGTTGATTTACTTTAAGAGTTTGCCACCATGCTATTATATTGCTTTAGTGCCTGATCACTGCATAAAAACGCATTTTGATTAGGAACACCTTATGAAATTAATGTTTAATTTATTAACGCAGATGACGATGATGATGATGACGACGATGACGATGAGGAAGAGGATGAGGAAGAAGCAGATGACGATGACGATGAAGACTACTTAGAGAGATTCTTCGACGACATCTTGGGAGGTAAGATTGGGAGATATCATTACAAAACAACTTTTTATGGTATACACTTTAATCATAATAAGAAAATTATAAATGTTTTGTTTGTCCTACAGATGATGAAGACGATGAGGATGATGAACCAGCAGTTGCGGCTGTTCAGCCTATAGTCGCACCCGCTGACACAGTAGCCGCTGCACCTGCTGCCGCTGCTTCCGAGGAAGCAGCTACGGTCGTGGAAGACGCCGAAGCGGCAGAATCGGAAGCTGTCTCCGAAAGCGAAGAGCCTGAGGCGGGTCAGAAGGAGCCCGCTAGCGCAGAAGTCGAATCAGTTTCTAGTGCTGAAACACCCGCCGCTGACGTTGAAGCTGATGACGATGATGATGACGATGATGACATCACCGATGCTCTCGGAGAGGATGATGAGGATGATGATGAGGAGGAAGAAGAGGACGATGACGATGATGACGACGTATCTGACGTCCTCGGCAGGAACAACTCGGAAAAGCACGCACGTGAGTCTAAAAAGTTGAAGGCGATAGTCGCGGCGCATGCGAAAAAGACTGGGAAAAAAGCGAACTACATCGGCAAAGTAAAGAAAACCAAAGCGACATCCGCCGCGGCGTCGGCCCTAGAACACAAAAAGTTAAGATAGTGACTAGGCGGAGCCGCAATAAGCCACCAAATCCACCTGAGTGACCCCCACGGTCCCCTCCTTTAGCTTAGCTATTTATTGACTATTTATTTATTTCATCTAATTTATTTTATTTATTAAGTGCGTGTGTTTGATGTGTGAAAGTGTAAGTATGGAACCGAGAGAGTTTAAGTTAAATTAATGTCTAGATCATGTCACACTGGTCTCGTGGCAATTTATTGGAAATAAATCTGTTGTTCTAAATTGTTGTGAAATTTTTTGTTTTACCTTCGAGATGACTTGTGCGTTTAGAATCATTTAACCGAAACACACGATGCATCGGTCAGAATTCTAGTTGCATAACCCTGCAATTGTCAGCTAATCGAGTGACATTATCTAGTTATATTAATTTAATTTTGTTGTTAAAATAAAATGTATACTAGTCAGCATACAATATTTATAACTATTCCTTTTACTCTAACAATAACTATTACGTATATTCAAAGATGTATGTTATAATTATCTATCATGCATATATATTCTGATTTTTCCCTTTGTTTCCATAGTATGGTTATTTAACAGTATTGTATATGTAATGATTAAAAGTAGTCATAATAACTAGCCTTTTGACCGATATACATTTATCTACGTATTTTAATCTAACGCACAACCATTCTCGCTCCATTCCTTTACATCCTGTCTTATGAAGTGTCTATTATAATCATCGAAGTCACGGCAGAGATTGTTAAATACCAATTAAGGTAGTGATGGAAGTGGTTGGGCGCCCGCGACTGCCCGCGGTGAAGGAACTGGTCGGCTGTGATGTGTGCTAAGAGGTCGGTGGGTCGAGTCCGTCGCCCGCTTACTTTCCCGACTGAGCTCGTTCGATGAACCCGCCCGATTTCTTCTATAACCTTGACACTTTCTTTAACCTTGCTCCAGCCCGCACTCCGAGCGACCTTGACGAATCCCACCATAGTTTTGACATAACCCGATAGAAAGTAAATCGTGCTAAATTTTTACTCTCACTTAATGACGAAATTTACCGCAAAATTTGCGTGTCATACGTCCGGCTCAGTGAAAACGAGATAATGAGATGCGAAAAGAGAAATTTTAAATGTTTGCCGACGTGAAACGTTGGGAGAGTCGCGAGGAGTCGTACTCGACCTAAATAGAACTCGTTTGTTTCCGGTAACCATACATATAAGTCGACACACTTGTTTCACTGGACTGTGCTTTTCTTCCATTTGCAGATGGAGATATAAATACTGATAGTCTTAATGAAAATTGGCATTGATAAAGATAGTTAGCAGTATAATGACAAATTAATCCATAAATTAGTCAGATATTATAACAGTAACGTTACGCAATGACAAGCATAATGATCGAGTATTGCGTGATGCTTCACGACACTTGCATGTTGACCTAGCAGGTGTTGCTTTGGTTTTCTGAAAACGAGGCGAGGTTTATGTGTGCCGTAATTAGATTTCTTCGAATGTTTGTAGCAGGAACGCAGTTTCTTTTACGTGTGGAAAATAGAAAATTTACCGTTGACTGGGCGTATTAATTGTAACTGAGTATTAGAATTCTAGTGATGCTACGAGAGACCGATACAGTTAGTTCGCGTGCCAGCACAACGTGATTTGAATTAGGTACAATATATTCAGTTGATTAATCACTGGTACAGTATACGATACACGCGCATGATACCATATAGAGGAATTCCTACTGCCTCTGAAACATGTGACAAGCATGTTGCAGCCGTTGAAAGAGAAATTCATTTGCTAATCAGTCTCATTAACAGTTTTGAAAGTGATTTCAACTGTTTGCCACGGAAATCACGGAATAAGACGTTATTTATGGCAGATCAGACCCTTAAAAGGTTTTTACTGCGAGAATTTATATGCAGACCAGTTCATACCGGTAATTTAATTAAAATAATTCTCATTAATGAGAAAACATTGAAGTACTTTATCAAGCATAAAGATCAATCTGTCTTCAGAAATCGATCACTTTTGGGCGTCTTTTTCGTCTGATATTGATGGGTCCAACAATTATCAGGCGGCTCTATTGATAAAGGTATGGCGCTCTAGAAATGTTATCTCCTACTTATTTATTTCATTGATCTATCAATCATGTTTGATACAGGAGGCAGTAACAGATGTACAGCCTAAAAATATCATGATCTAGTTATTTGTCAATACCTTGATGGTTATAGATTTACAGTTAAATTTATTGCTACTACAACTTCCACGGATATTTTTTTCATGTATTCAATGAGAACTGTAATTGAACACTGGTAATTAGCCAACAATCTACTTTGAACGTAAACAATAGTTCTCACCACTTATTAAATGTGGGTTTTAAAAAATATTCACACATAAGAAAACAACCTCATTAAAGTTCAAATATCAGTAAATGGTAGTTTACGTAGCAACTGTTTTAATGAAAACTTTTTTTTTGTAATCCGCTGCAGCTGTAATAATCAGAGCGTAACAACAACAGTCTATGGTAATTTTTAATCTGATCATTATTTATTGTTTAAAATGAGTGGTTGGGTTGGCGGACACAGGAATAATAACGGAACAATTCACTTTAAAATCTGTATAAAACAAAGAACAACACAGACGATAAAAGTAACATTTAGTAAAAGCATCATAATTTCGGGTAACGGTGGTAAATGAAAATTTATTTAATACTTAATTAAAGGCTGCTGAACTAAAGTTGGATTTACTAATCAAGCATAACGAGTGATCTAATGATACAGATAGATATGTGAATGTTTTTAATTCTATTAAATCCTGATGAATTTCTTGCGCCCATTCTTCTTATCAGCTAAAAGACTTCGTCCTGAAATAGAAAAAAATATTGTACGATTCAAAAGAGGCTTCAATAAGTCACTTCAACCAAAGTATTTTTTCATTTCATAGGAAAGTTTATATCGTGTCAAAAGAATACCAAACAAAAACGTAATCTGCTATATGTTCGTAGCAAAGAGGTAACCACCTTAGAAACTTGCGATATCAAGAAGACTGGTGCGTTACCTAATCCGATATTTTCACTTAACCTTTCCTAATGTACTACGGAAAAATGATATCTTTCATGAGGCCTGGGAAAGTAATTTTACAAAAAGCGACAGTAAAATAACAGTAGGTACTTTTTGCTTATGGTGGTGTCATGTATCTGTTGGTGAGTAAGGTTCCAAGGCTCCACGGGGAAAGAATTGAATTGAGGCCGGCAACATGCTAGAGCGACAACTCTTTGATAGCACAAAAACTCAATAAACAATCTTTAACCCAGTGTTAAAGGTTGTATTTTTCTTCCATTTGCGGATGAAGATATAAATACTCTTAATGAAAATGGGCATTGATGAAGATAGTTAGCAGTAAAATCACAAAATTAATCGATAAATCAATCAGATATTATAACAGTAACGTTACGCAATGACAAGCGTAATGACCGACTATTGCTTGATTCTTCACGACGCTTGCATGTTGACGTAGCAGGTGTTGCTTTGGTTTTCTGAAAATGAGGAGAGGATTATGTAAGCGGTTATTAGATTTCTTCGAATGTTTGTAGCAATAAACTGCGTTCTTGCTTGCTTGCTTTTCTGTGTGGAAAATAGAAAATTCACCGTTGACTGGGCGTATTAATTGTAACCGCGCATTAAACTAAAGTTGGATTTACTAAGCAAGTATTACAGGTGATCTAATGATACAGATAGATATGTTAATATTGTTAATTCTGTTAAATCCTGATAAATTAATTGCTCCCATACTTCTTATTGGCTAAAAGACTCTCCCTGAAAAAGAAAAAAATATTGGACGCTTCAAAAGAGCCCTCATTAAGTCAATTTAAATAAAGTATTGTTTCATTTCATATGAAATTTTAAATTATGTCAAAAGAATGGCGAACAAAACCTTTTTCTTCATATGCTACGGAACAATGATATCTTTCATAAGGCCTGGTAAAGTAACCTTTGTCTTACAAAAAGCGACAGGAAAATAACTTAAGGTACTCTTTGCTTTTGGTGGTGTCGTGTTTCTGTTGGTAATTAAGGTTCCAAGCCTCTACGGGGCAGGAATTGGAATGAGGCTGGCATTAACAGCTAAAGCGACACTCTTTGATAGCAAAAAAGCTCAATAAATAATCTTTAACACTGGGATTCCACTTACACTTGATACAGGTCCCCACCTGGGGAGTGGTAATTTGCTGAAAAATGACTTTTGAGAATGTAACTCCAATTCAGGCAAATTTCGAATACAGTAGGCATTAAAATTTTATACATTGTGCTTTTGAATAAAGCTGAAAACTAAGAACATCTCAAACGTTCAGTAGCTTGAAATCTTGGGTAGCGACTAACGATTCAAATACGTGTAAATGTTGCAATTAGTACTTAGGTACTTCTTCTTGCATATACATCTGAAATGATAAATGCAGGAGATGGATAGTACCTAAATACTGATTCATTATAAAAAAAATCGTAAACGTCGTATAGGCCTATGTGTACAAGATATCGAGTTTCGGCATAAAATTACGATATCTTGGGTGAACTTAACATTAAATGACTATCATATAACCACAGGCGCTTTGAGCGAGGCTACCACCAAGAAACCGAAAACGCCTGTACCCGCTATCTACATAGTGAAGTACAATCGCTTCGTGGACAATATTTTGGAGAAAATGAACGACGTTCTGAGGAAGTCCTACGACCCCGTGAGCGTGAAGTTGCAGCCGATCGACGCTAGCAAGAAGAACTCGAAGCCAAAGAAAAACAAAACGAAGTCTAACAAGAAGTAAGTCTGTTTAATAATATTAAATGTCAACAAATAATTAACATAATAATAATAATTAACAAGTCGAGAACGAGTAATAAAATACCATTAAAGTTGAAATGCAATTCCATTCAACAGTAGGTTCTAGCAGAAGAAATCGTTAAAATGTTAAAAATATTAGTTATTCTAATATTTCTTAGATTGGTCTCCCTGGTCAACCAAAGGAAAACTAATCATTTATTTATGCAGTTATAATAAAACAATAATTTATTTACTAAGCTGATTAGGTAATGGAAATAATAACTGTAGGTAGCCGAAGCAAGATAAGTAACTTATATATTTTTTTGCGCATTAGTTTGATTACAATAATAATTATGAAAGAATTTAAATGAAGAAAAATTAAGCGGAGTAGTCGTATAGCCGCACCTCCTGAAAATTGTTTTATTCTTCGTAGTTATGAATAACTAAGACATAACTATCCGCGCTTTCATAGAACTATAACGTTTAATAATAACATAACATGTATTTTAGGAAAACATCTCACAAAAAGAAGAATACCCCTCGTACTGGTGATAACAAAATCAAGGACCAATCTACAGAAGTTCCTGAAGCTGTTACAAAATTTGAAGAAAAGCCTCAAATGATAGAAGAGTCCAGCAATATAGTAGCTGTTGATCAAAAAACCGAGAATGCATCAGAATCTCGCGCTCATAAAGAAAAGAACGAAAGCTCGAAAGCCAAACCAACAACTATTAAAACTAAACCTCCAACCAAAGTCACTAAGCCTAAACCAAAACCTCCAGTAAAGACCACTACTAAGAAACCAGTGATTAAAAATAAGAATAAGACTAAAACTTCTGAGAAAAATAAGCCCAGGGCTAAAGGCACACTATATGGTCTGTCTTCTTTAAGAAGAGTTGGAGACGTGAGTGTCAACATAATGACCAATCGTACAATGGTGAAATCTAAATTTGCTGTTGGACCCCTAATTTTGAGAGTGGAAAAGGAGGTAAGTTTTAAGTATACTTACACAAATTATGATTGATTTTAACCTTTAATTAAATTGGTGTTCCTAATGGGGATGTTAATGAGGATTTATATTAACGCTTTTGCGAGCTACGAATTGGGGTCGTCTCTATTTGAGATACCGTCTTAGTTTCTGATTTAATAGAAATTTCAGTTAATCGGAATATATAATTATTTTTATGTGATTTTTTTGAATGTAGAGTTTATTTAAAAATAGTTTGATGATAATAATTATTCACAATTTCATATACCGATTACAAATAAGTAAAGGGATACTTATAAATATAGTTAATGACTTAGTATCTACTAAGACATTTGGTTTCAACGCAAAAATATTACAGGTTGGTCGCGGTGCTAAGAAGGAGCTGAAATCGGCAACGGCCACGACTGCAGAAATGTCTGGAAAAATTACTCTAATGGTCAACAGTCAGGGAGTTGCAACGTTACACGCCATCAAGGTTTTGCAACCGAAACAGGTACCAAATTACTTTATAAACAAACTTGCGTATTTCCACACACACAAATATTTTAGGACCACTTTTAAAAAGAGTAGGTCATAGATTACTCGCTTTGATTGGGATGATGACGGGGTGAAGTAAACGAAATTCTATTTAGTCCGTCAGTTAGATTATCAAAATATCATCAGCCTATTATGTCCCACTGCTGGGGCACAGGCCTTCCCTATGGATGGAATAGGGCCATGACCCACACACACAGTGCGGATTGGTGGGTGCTAACGACTGCAGATGCAGCCGGGCCCAACTGCTTAACGTAAAAGTTCCTCCCCTCCAGTAAAAGCTAAACTATTGGCTTGAAAACCTGAAAAAACATCGTGATAATAGTGCTTTTCATGAACTTTTAAAGAAAACTTTAACGGTTAAGATAGATTTGTTAGTTTAAGAGCAATAGTCGTTCAACTTTGGTTAAAAAAAATCTTACCTATTAAAAATCCCTTAGAAAAAAACATTAATAGTGACATAGATGAAGTTATTGTAGCGTAAAACCTTGCATTGCAACAAAATAAAAAAAAAATTAAAAACCGCAATAAAATATGATTATTTCCACAACGCTACCGCGAGTACCAACAGCAACGGTTTCTGAGTCGCGCTAACATTACGTTTTTATAAAAAGTATATTAGCACTTGAAAAGTTCGGCGGTTATACCGCATCATCCCCTTCTCAGGGGAAGATCGCTTCAGATGAAGCTTTAAAGGCCCTTCTGGTCATAAGCATGAACTACGGGTGTATTTTAATCAGTAAGAGTCTGACATAACCTTGCAGCCGGCTGTGGGGTATCATTGAAGATTTCACACCCGCTCCCCCGCGCCTGGGAGGAAACAAAATAAAATCGGCGGTTATCATTCAATTATCGTATTTAAAAATTATAATATGGAATTGGTTTTGAGTCTGATACGCAGATTGACTTTAATTTAGGTATTTTAGTTGAGATACATAGATGATATTAATTGTTTTTTCCTATTTCCGATATAGAAAATAAAGACTACTGCTCAAATATATTGTGGTAACTACAGGCAACTACGGAACCGTACACTGCGCGTGGCACGACACGCACTTGGCCTTTGATAATCTACTTGATAAACGAAGAAAAACAGTTAGTCTTCATCCCTATTGTAGCTCGAGATTCATGCTCTAACACCTGCGTTTCCTATACATACCTACGTACTATACATATAAATATACTACCTATATACCTACCTACAGCGGAAAAAAACGGCTTAAGGTGCCTACCGAATCACGGAAGTGCTCGAGATAAGAAATTCTTGGTCACTCAGCTTAATAACTTTTTTTTTATAGATTTATGACTGACCGTTACAAGTTGCTTGGATTTAACTACAATATTATCTTTTCTGGAAACTGTAATCATCTCTTAATAATTATATTATCCTTAGGTTCGAGTAGACAGCAACCATGAAAGGACCCGTGAGTTGGTTTGGCAGCGCAGTGCGAGGATTGCCCACGTGGTGTCTGAGAAACTATTTGCAGCATCAAAACCCATGTTTTTACATAGCGTAGTTCATCAGTAAACATTATTAGACTCCGTACTCCAAGCACGAACAGCTAGCAAGAAAGTATTCGTATGGTCAAGTCAAAGTTTCTATGGAAAAAGTAAGATTGTTCTTACGTTCGTTAGGGGCGCTGCTTAGTATCCAATTCCATAGAAATTTTGACGTTGGCCATACGAACAAGGATCGAAGGATCTGTCAAAGTTCGTGGTTGGGGTACCGCCTAACATTATAAGGGTGTACTAAGCAAGATATAGAATACTAAAGATAGACTGCTCAATGACTGGATGATTAATTTATTATTATCTTATATTGTAAGATAGGAAAATTATAAGAGTTTAGGTACTTTTAGTCCCGTGAAATTGTTTCTCACAGATTTTTATGTATATTTAAAAAATAACTAAATTGTGTAGGATTCAAATAACTGATAAAAAATTGGAATATAATGGTGCTTTTTTAATATCAGTATTTAATAACATTATGATTTAATAGATGTCATTCACTCATATTAAGTTTACAAAAAGTAGCAATTGTTAGGATTTTCATAATGAATGATGACATGACAATCGAAAATTTAGAAGATGTGCCGTGAGCTTAATAAATGGAACCTCCACATTGGAAATATCTACATATTATCACAAATGCAATAAGAATGAATGACTGAACGACTTAGCTAATTAATGTAATTCTTATGTATTTTAAAGTTCTACTACTTAAATAAGTATTATGATACTCATTACTTTAGTCAGAAACTGCATTTATTATTCCGTACCTACTTAACTAATAGATGGTGCTAAGATTAGGTGACGTATAGTAATTTATATTCTTTTTTAATTTATATAATAAAATACTTATTTACAATATGTATTTTTTTTATTTATCTGGTTACCTTGGATATAAAGTCTCTATTTCACATTATCGGTTAAATTGAAATATGTAGGTATGCTTACTTACTATTCCTCGAATCATGTTTAAAATGCTTGAGGTGGCAATGTAAGCAAGAGAGGTGAGCACAGCGGATTTTCCGCTGGGATTGTAGCGCCCGTCTGGGAAACCGTAAAATAAATCACAGTAAAATAACTATACCTTTGGTGGTTTTGTGTTTCTGCTGGTGAGTAGGGTCTCAGGGCTCCGCGGGGTAGGGGAATAGGTTCAGGTTGGCAAGGTGAGGATGTCTAGAGTGGCACACCTTCTGCCGCATCATCTATCTTTGGCACTGGACTATAGGGTGGGGTAATTTGATGCGCCACGTATAAAAAAACATCATCATCATCATCAGCCTATTAATGTCCCCAATGCTGGGCCACAGGCCTTCCCTATGGATGGAATAGGGAGTTTGGGCCATGACCCACCACGCGGGCCCAGTGCGGATTGGTGGGTGCTAACGACTGCAGATGCAGCCGGGACCAACGGCTTAACATGCCTTACGAAGCACGGAAGAGCTCGAAATAGTAATTTTTGGTCACCCATCTAATGACCGACCACTGCGAAAGTTGCTTAAGTTCAACGATCGCAGCCGAACGCGCTAACATGCGCCATCGAGCTCCTCAGGCAAAAAAATATGGTTTTCTCGCTAGATGTCATGTTTAAAAAAAATATAGGCTAGACATAATTCGAGAGTGAAGAAACATTATGTTTAATACCGGAAGCATTGGGTAAAATTAAGTGTCTACCTACACCGGAAGGTGAATATTCAGAGCATAGATTATGCATAATAGAAACATTCCTGAATAATTACACTTATTTGACTGTTAGTCACAATAAAGGACTGTATTTATATTGTACTAGCGGACTGTCCCGGCTTGATATACTTGTGACTTTATGAACTAGTGACATAAATAAATGATGTAAAAGAATGAATAATAGATGAAGGCTTTTCACTTGTAGTGTTCTCAACTCATATGGGATTGGAATCACGTTCGAGTTTACAGCAAGCAGAAATGTTTTATTCTTTTATATTCTGTTTTTCAATTTCATTGTTGTTGTGTTTTGGTAGTTTTATTAAATGAGTCATAGTACAGGTACTACCACTGCCCGAAGCTGTTAAGGCCAGCTGCCAGGGGAAAGAATGGAGCATTAAAAGAGAGGAAGAAAAGGGTGAAGGTTGAAAGAGAAGGATTGAGAGAAAGCAGGATTAAGGAGAGGAGGAAGCTAAGATAATTATTAATTAATTTATTTATTTCTTTAAACTTCATTGCCATACATATGCAAACGGCGGACTTAATGCCATAGGCATTCTCTACCAGTCAACCTGAACGAGTGTTAGAGACAAATGGTATGGCGATAGGGCAAAATGCTTTATAATAAAACATTTAAAAAATAACGACGATCAAAATATATTAATATTTTTATAGGTATTAAATTTGATACACCTCCATAAACTACTCAAATAAAATACATAAATAAATATATGCATACATAAAATACAATAAATATAATATAATAATATAAATAGATGCAAACTATAAATAATAATTATGAGATAGCATCGGAAATATATAATAGAAGGTACCTACAGTAGAAGAAAAATGCCAAGTGTGTAGAAAGAGTAATATTTTATAACGCAGTGGATTAAGGACTTTGGTTACTTTACATTTGACTACATTTTTTTCATTAATTTTTCATTTCATTCAGTTTTACTCTTTCATCTATCAAACTAACACAAAAACGGAATACATACTTTATGAATGAATCTTATTTATTGTAAGAAAAATAACAGTCGAATTTTTTGTTTGTCACAAATTACCAATAGCAGTCACCCCAGTATTATGTAAAGTCCTGATAATGGTTCTTAACAACCATTTGTACCCCTAGCACGAACCAATATCGAATTCGTATCGTTTGCGAGTCCGAAATGTCATTGTCAAATGTATACTGATTTTTAGTTCTCGTTACGTACTTTGTGCCGCTGCTGTTCAAGTTTAAATACTATTCGAATTCGATAGTGGTTCGTGCTAGGGCTACTGAATCTGACCAGCTACCTAGTGGGTCACTCTCAGATTAATGATCGTCAATATGGCTTTGAACCGAAACGATCGCCGGGTGTACTTCTAGCGTACATTAACATCTGGGGTGAGGCTATTTACAAGCGGGGTGAATCGTTGGTTATCAGCCTTGATATCGCAAAGATTTTCGACAGGGTCTGGCAGAAAAACATCCTCGTCAAGCTTCCAGCATTCGATCTGCCGGCTCAGTTCTGTTTCCGGGGAGCTGACTTCCTGCATAGAATTCGTGTCCTTATGCATGGAAGTAGTTCGCGGTTCATTCCAGTGAATACCGGCGTGGCTCAGGGTTCCGTCATATCTCCTAGACTTTTTGATCTGCATATCAATTATTTGAAACGGCTGGACAGGAAAAAATATTTTATTAATTATCTACCTACAGATATCTTACAAAGAACAAAACAAAGGAGACACGGAAGAATCTTGTCATTGGGCTAAATTAGACTTTGGACAACATTTTCGAAGGAGGGTATCAGGGACTGTCGAGTATTGAACTCGAAGAAAATCCAGGTCTGCGATTTCGTGGCAACATAGTCGCATTTCATTCGCCTTCCTTTTCTTCAGGGTACAACACTGGTGCTACAGAGCAATTTCACTACAGAGAATTAAAATAGTACCTATAACGAAAGTGTGAAAAAACGCGAAGTAAGAGATTTGGTGACTCCCTTCTTTTTCACACTATCCGTAAATGGATTGCTTTGTTCGCCGACGTGTTCCCTCCCTCCTAGTTACAACCTGGGATCCTTTAAAAGCGATAAAGAAGCAACTTATAGACCGACAATGTGAGGATGCTGGTGCGGTAGATAAAACTTCTGCACCAGCTATCTTCGTCCCTGGACTCAGTGTCACTTAATATCAGGTGGGGCGGAATCATTTGTCGGACCTTAAAAAAATACTCGGAAAAGGGCTTCATTCCAGGCTTTTGCTTAGGGCGAAAAGAATGATCGGGCCGGCCCTTAGCCTACACTACTACAACCGCAACCGTCCGATGACGCCCGCTCGAATTCATACATACATTGGTTTCATGGCACCCAAGTTACGTAGTAACTACTTCGTAATCTGTGCCCGAGCACAGTTCAGGCGATACCGACTTAGATGTATCCGAAACCTAACTGTCAAGCTACAACTTCTGACTTAGCGTTGAGCGCAGCGAGCGACGATCTGCGGGCTTTACGATAATCCCATCGCTGTAATCTTGGCTCTGTGACGTGCTTCCAACATTATAGTACATTTATACATCGACGCGTCGCTTCAGCTGACACTCGCAACGCTCATAGAGGCAAGGTTGCAGCTGAGCTGTAAGGAGAGGTTTCTTTAAATATCGTCCCTGACAAGGAGACAATAGGAAAGGTCGACTAGAATAATTCAGATTTGAGCGATACTATAACACAGCGTGCTTACTGTGCGATTTCAAACTGCAAGAAGAAAAACACAAAAATTGAAATGTGCCAATTTATTCGTACTTATAGAAAAAAAACATACAGAATGCATTCGGATTCTTATTTGACCTACCGGAGGAAAACATGTATACGTCTTAGTATTTATTTTGCAACAAACAATTCAAACATACAAAATTTCACATTTACAATATTAGTAGGAAGTAGGATTTTTAATGTTCTAGAAGTAATTATAAATTAGATTAATTAACACTTTATAGTAACAATAACAATAAACTACAACTGTAGGAAAATATATTAACTTTCTGTCTACTGCAAATTCAAGATTAGGATTTTTGTAGACGTGAAATTCTATTGACAACAAATAAAAAAAAACAACATCAGAATTGGAAGAACATTTTTGCTGTGATCATAAGTCATAGTAAACAAGAGCTTAGGCTTAGAGGCGCCCTCTAGTAGATTTGAAGTCTCACAAAAAGCCTTAATTAATCCCTGCAGGTCAATCGCCTAACGGAATTGCTATGGGTGTCGCTATCGTTTACGATTTCATTTTGTTATTTCTGACCGCCGAAGGTTTTTAAATACCTTACGCTCATTGTCTTTAAAGTTGTTGTTACCAATACAAAAGAAAAAAAACGAGTTCGGGGCATTTGAAAACCTTCGGCGGTCAGAAATAACCAAATGAAATCATAAGCAATCCCTTTAGGCGAATGGCCCCCTGGCCTCCTTTTTAATAAACGAAGGAAGACCCACTTTAATAATGAGGTGGAGTTTAGAGCTGACCTGAAGTGGGGACCTTCCCCTTTTCATTGAAAAATGCTTTTCCCCTTATAAAACTGTACCAAGAGAGTCTAAGTCGTCTGAACTTAATAGCTAATACACAACACAACAATAAACTAATCTTAGAAGTTAACAAAAAAGACATTGGTTGACAGACACAAAAAATAACAGCGAAAGGAGCGCAGATGTTTTAAGTAGACATTATTTAGTGCGAATTTTTAACATTTATTTGCGACGTCCATAAGATAATCAGATTATTTTTTTATTGTCAATAAATCCTTTACTCTGGCCTATAGCTTATCTGCGCTGATTCCTAGAATACTATTAATACACGAAAATTGAGCAACTTCATTTAAGGATTTGATAAAATTACTTGCATCAACAGTTCTTTGGTAACTAAGTAACTTGTATTAAGTAACATATATTTGAACTCTTTTTTATATGTAAAGATAATCTTAAATAATGCAATATGCCTAATTAAAGTGTCTATCCATTGGGGTTATACGATTTACAAAGAACACATTCATTTACTATAATAAATACAAAACAGTTTACATTCACTATGAAAATATCATTAAAAATGGACTGAATAAAGTTCATCGGCAAATCAAGTCTGTCCGGCTGTGAATCTGTAAATTTATTATTAATCAATTATTCGAACAAATATCTAATACCTTAGATAGTACCACTACCGATACAAACCCAATGACCTACAAAAACCAATGATCGACATTTAGTTCTGTGATCAATAAAAATAAAGAGTAGGTAACCGATCACTGAATATGGTAACACCGAGCTATTGACGCTATAGACGCTCGGTGTTACCATATTTAGGGATTGGTTACCTAACTTTATTTTTATTGATTACAGAAAAAAATACGATCATTATTGCTTTACGGTTATTGGTGCCACCATCCTACATAAAATTATAAGGAAACCGATTTATCTAAAATGATATGACGGATAAATAAAGAAAATATTGTTATAAATTTATTAAATTGTGTGCCTGAAAATATGCAATAGATATTACGGATAGTTTGAAATTAACGTAAACCTTAAATTACTTGACATTACCAGTTCAAAAATTTGCGTTGTAACCTCACGTTCCTGCAAAGTTTTCACAGAAATTATATTTGCAACCCCGGATAATGTAATTGGATCCCTTTATTGAAAACAAATCATTGTGGGAATTTAAACAAATATATTATTATATTACTTATTTATTATTATTGGATCCCAATTTTGTAAACTCTAGAATATTTGTTTACATAATTTATAGCGTCCCGTGGCAAGGATTATAGATAAAAATACATATATATTATAACTTACAGTGTTGCCGAAATTGCAATATGTTTCCCTTCATCAAATAATGCTTATAACAAAAATAACAAAGTTTTTCAGATTATGGAAGCTTTACGTATTTGTGATGATGAAAAAAGAGACAAAGGTATACCTATCCTTTTAACACTTACGGTATTTACAATGTGCGTGAAGAGGAATAAAATAGTGTAAACTTGACCTTAGCAAAACAAAACTATATGTGCTGCTGGATTGGACGAAACTTATGAAAGCTAACTTAAAAATATACTGATTTCTGCAATATATTTAAACTTATTTATACGATACAATATGATGTCACGTATCGTTCTCATCGGTTTTGCCCATTCTCGTTCCGTTGGCGTGGAGTAAAGGTGTACAGTTGTTTGGTGTGGTGACAACTACTTCGGAAATGTCATCGTCTTGACGTAAAGAGTCATAGTTGGGCGGTGGAGTTACATTTCTCGAATTGGAGTTGAGCATCGTTAGTGGAATTTGACCGGTGATACCTGCAAATATAATAGGCAATGCATTATTTGAAATTAGATTTTTTTACCCGTTTAAGGTCGACGCAGACATATCAACTCGGAATGGGATCGTCACCGTATCACCTCGATCCGTTCAGTTCAAAGACACGAGTTTGTTCCGAGGCGAGGCGATTACATGACGATTCCGATTAGAGCGCATTGCAGCAGGGAGTTTAATAAAAAGAATACTAAATGGCTCGAGTTGAGATCTCTTTCCAAGTTGAAATGTCTGCTACGTTAACGTATCTGCGCCAAAAACAATTAAGTGGGATAATATCAGCACCTCTGGTGAGTAGCTTGCTGCGTGGCTAGAACTATTAACGAGTCACTGCAACATTGGTATAAGTCGTGCTATATTGAATACAGCATTTCTTTGTATATGTTTTGTGAATATTTTCCAAGTGAATATAAGCCAAACTTATAGTAGGAGAGCTAGTGAACCCTCCGAATTACGGTATATCTGTAAGGCTAGAAATTATTATGGTGATGAGTCATCTCATGCTTAGTACGGTAAGCATCGCCTGGCACGCCTCAGCACTGTCAAGGACTTATGCTAGCCGGAACCACCTGTCATTCTACCTACTTACTTTACATAGCTTACACAACCACATATAAATTTCAACTTTACTACAGAATAAAGTTTATTTTAATTTATATTTATTTATGTTTCACATTTCAAAAGTCTTTCGAAGGTAGCTCGACAAAATTAAATAAAAAATCATTCTGACGAATCAGACCTGAAAAGGCTGCGAAACGTCAATAAATAAATAAAGTTTCGTGCATTAACCCGTTAAAACTAGTTTTATTTAATGAGTGATGTGCGTGAAAACCTAAGAAGCAAATATGTTTCACCTGTCGGGTACTTGTGCTCATCGAAAACGCCTGCCAGGCGATGCTTCCCGTACTAAGCTAATGCTATGTCTTATCACCATAACAATTTCTACCCTTACAGACATATCGTTACTCGGAGAGTTCAGTAGCTCTTGGTCTATCACAAGACTCATGGACGAAACAAAACGCCATTATACTCACTTTGTAAAGTAGCGTCTAGTTCAGCCGCTGTTGGTACAACAAGCACGCTTGATTTGGCCCCGCTGAATACTGCAGCGACATTGGCCCTAGGCGATAGCAATACAAGGGGCTGTCCTCGCGCCGAAAGAGAGCTTGATAGAGCACAGAGACCTTTGGCCGCTGTGAAATCGGCCCCTGTAATAGGAAAAGAGGTTTCAAGTTCAGACATAGATTGAAATAGATAACGCAAGTGTATGTACTTCGCGTCCCAAGTTTTTTAAACCAAATTGGTGAGCAGTTTCTTCGGGTTAGGTTAACATTAACATCTCAGAAGCATTTGCGACTATTGGCCGCTGTGAAATCGGTCTCTGTAATAGGAAAAGTGCGCAAGACAACTAAACTGTTCATCATCAGCCTATTTATGTCCCCACTGCTGGGGTACTTACAAGCCTTCTCTATGGATGAAATAGGGAGATTGGGCCATGACTCACCACGCGGGCCCAGTGGTGGATTAGCGGGTGCTAACGACTGTAGATGCAGCCGTGACCAACGGTTTAACGTGCCTTCCGAAGCACGGAGGAACTGGATATAGAAGATTTTTGGGCACCCATCCTATGACCGACCACTGCGAAAGTGCGCCACCACCTGCGCCATCAAGCTCCTCATTCAACTGTTACTGTTTAATCCAAAATGGTGGCCAGTCGAGAGGTTGGTTCGGAACCTTTATCTGCTACATATATCCGCGACATTGACGATTATTTACGCTTCGACATTAACATGCAAATGGATGTTCTCATCACTGAAGCACTCAGGGCTCCCCTGTTTTATAGATTGATTTTTAAAACAAATATAGAAAATTGATACAGACTATTAGACTTACGTCTGTCAATCCAAACCTAACATTAATACCTCGTTTAGACTATGCTTGACTTGACTATGCTATGACTTAATTAATATTTAATTAATTCATAATTTTTAATTCCACATCTTTCTCCACCAAGCGCGTGGCGCGAACTAAGCGACGCGCAGAGTGTGAACACGCTTTGCGACTCGCGCTGGCTGGTCCTTTGACTTACGCACAAAAAACCGCTCTTTTGGGGAGCGCCGGGCAGCGCGAGTGGCAATGGCAGTGGCATGACGAGTATCGTGTTTACATACTCGTCAAGCCCACTTCCCTCCTTACTCGCGCTGCATGTTAACGAGGTAATAGAGTCAGATCCTAAGGTCGCCAGCCCTTTCTTATTTTGTGATGGACAAAATATGGAGAATCGAGTAGTATTAGTATGTACAATGAACGTATGCATACAATATATTATAGTATTATACTCGTTAACGTGTGCTGTGGGCCAATTTTCAAACAGGTATGAAAAAATTACAGTCTGAGGAGGGGACTGATTCCTATGTACGTTGTAGAGAATATTGTAAAAAAAAATGGGTGCGTGTACTTATGTAGGCGCGTGAGAAGTTATCCTTCTTTGGCATCGTTTAAAATTAGTTTTTAATTGCATGCAAATAATTAATAACAATAAATTAATAAAAAGTCTGGAAAAGGACACAGTCAATAAAGTTCAGTTTTAATTTGAAAAAATAAATAAATAATCAAAATATTCAATTAAAATCGCTACTGAATATAATTTATTAAAACATATGTGATTTGTACTTGTATGAAACTCAAACACGTATTCCGAATATACAAACTAGAAACATGTGGATAAATATTATAAATATGAATACCTATAACTGTTACTTTATTACAAAAAATAAAGATGTGGTTTTTGGTTCTACTACACCAATGGTCAAGAGATGGCGCTGTAGTCTCCTGAATCGCGCTTTGGTTCCGTTGTTCCAGATTAATAAATACTTTTGATAGGCCTTCACAATGCAGTCGTTAGCACCCACTAAATAGAGATTCTATTTCTAAATATTTTGTTGGTAGATTTTCTTAATGTGCGGTAAACACAAAAGTAACGCATGAAGTTGGTCGCTAAAGCGACATGCTGTTAAAATTTTGTGTTACAGTGATGCGCGCGCATCTTAATCCAAAAAAGGGGATCGCTCAGACCCGGCAAACTACCGGCCAATAGCAGTCACCTCAGTATTATGTAACGTCCTAGAAAAGGTCCTTAACAACTATCTGACCCGCTACCTAGAGGATCACTCCCTGATCAATGATCGTCAATATGGTTTTAGACCGAAACGATCGACGGGTGATCTTCTAGCGTACTTGACTCATATCTGGGGTGAGGCTATCGACAAGCGGGGCGAGTCGTTGGCTATCAGCCTAGACATTGCCAAGGCACTCGACAGGGTCTGGCACAAAAGCCTTCTCTCCAAGCTTCCGGCATACGGCCCAGTTCTGTTCTTGGGTAGCTGACTTCCTGCATGAGCGTAGAATTCGTGTCCTTACAGATGGTAGCAGTTCGCGGTTCATGTCAGTGAATGCCGGCGTTCCCCAGGGCTCCGTCCTAACCCCCACTCTCTTTCTGCTGCATATCAATGACCTAATTCCTCTTGGGAATATTCATTGCTATGCAGACGACAGTACAGTGCATGCGGGGTATCTCGGACAAGCAGCGGCTGGGCAGGCGGTAACCAAGGAGAAACGGGAGAATCTTGTCATTGAACTCAATCAGGCTTTTGACCACATTTCTGAATGGGGTACCAAGAACTTGGTTGAGTTCAATGCTAAGAAAACCCAGGTCTGCGCTTTCACGGCAAAAACGTCGCCATTCCTTTTATGTCCTTCTCTTCAGGGCACAACACTGGAGCTAGAGAGCAGTATCACCATGCTCGGTATGGAGATTCGCTGTGACTTAAATCCAAAAAATTATATAGAAAGTGTGATAAAAACAGCCTCACGCAAACTCGGAGTCCTGAACAAGGTGCGGCGTTTTTTCACGCCCGAGCAACTATGCTTGTTATATAAGACGCAGGTTCGGTCTTGCGTGGAATATTGCTCGCACCTCTGGGATGGCTCCGCCAAGTACTTGCTCGATGCTTTGGATAGGTTACAGCGGCGCGCAATACGCATCATAGGTGATGAGGAGGTGTCTAAACACCTCGAGCCTCTTCAATTACGCCGTGACGTGGCGTCACTAAGCGCGTTCTATCGTCTGTACCACGGCGAGTGTTCTGAGGAGTTATTCTCTCTTATTCCACCTTCCCCTTTCCTCAGAGGACCACGCGCGCTGGCTTACGTTGTCACCGTCTAACTGTGGCTACAATTCCAACGCGTACAAAGAAATTTGGTGACTCATTTCTTTGTCGTACTATCCGTAAATGGAATGCTCTGCCCGCTCACGTGTTCCCTCCCTCTTACAACCTGGGATCCTTTAAAAGAGGCGTGAAGAAGCAACATGCAGGTCGGCAGGGTGAGGATGGCTGGTGTGGCAGGTAGAACTGCTGTATCAGCTATCTTCGCGTCTGGACTTCACCTCCACTTAACATCAGGTGGGGTGGAGTCATTTGTCGGACCTATCTATAAAAAAAAAAAAAAAAAATTCACTCTCATCATTTTTTCATAACGCGCCTAAAGAAGTATAACTTAAAAAAAAAATTGCCAGACTTATTCTGTCAGCAGTATTTATTTCCAGTACTGTTGTAAATAAAGTGAACCATTTTTTTACGTGCCTTTTACACCTGAAAATTGGCCCACTGCACAAGTAAGCATGTGTGTATGTATGAAAAAGTCTGCTTCATTATTTAAATTAGTCATAGGTACTGTTTTCTCGCAAATGTGTTGAAAAACGTTGGATGACATTCGTGCGGAATTGGTATTTCTCGACTTCGTCTCGGGCTTACATTCGTCTACTTGTTTGTAATAACATACTTACCGCACTGATATCATAAATAACTATTTTCGCGTGGTTGTTCACTCTTGTTGTTGTTTACTATTTAAGCTCAAAACTTAAAGAAAAATAAGAACTTATTAATAAATAAGGATACATCATCTTATAACTTTTGAAAACACCGACAAAACGGTTTATTGTTGAACTTGCTAGTTTAAAAACTAAGGGCGTTATAATTAAAATACTCAATAAAAAAATACCATCCATCTAAAAACGTGTTTTTCTTTATGAGAAATTGACGTTTCCATCCGCGAATAAGTTGTAAATTATAACCTATCTGTAAAAACTTTAAAAAACAAAAATAGCTTAGAAGAAGTAAGGGTATCCATTCCCATTCATAATTTTAATAAAATATTTTACATTCCCAAGCTTCTACCAACCCTCGGCACATTGACAACTTTGAAGTCGGTCGAAGAGGGTAAGTAGAACCTGCAACCAATTTTGGTACTAATCGGTGCTGTTTTGTAGAATTGCTAGGGAAAATTGTGCATTGACTGGACTATAACAAGTACCTATTGGCCAACATCTGCGCATTTTTATTTCTCTTCTAAACTATAAAACTCATTTCAGACTGAGTTATGCGATATACATGGTATAATAAGTTTTGTTTGTTACGTTAGTCTTTACCAAATTAACTAGGAGGTGCTCTATTTTATTGGTGTGCGTTGAATTATATTATCATAAAATATAAACAGATGGCGCTAGTGTAGTTTGAGTTTGCATTCTAAATCGCGCTATTGAGTTTGTAGCTGGTTAATAGACACCTCTGCGTTGCCGCCAGTGCGACATCGCTTCTCGGCCTTTTGGCTAAGATCAAAGTGTAGTATCTGTTCTTTTCAGCTTAATATCTGAAAGTTCCCTCATTGAGGGACCAGTATATTAAACTGATTTTTGTAAATCGACGGGATGTTAGGGGCTCGCTCCACTCCCGTCACGGGTCGGCCCGGCATTGCAGTGCCGTCGGGATCGGCCCACATATATGAGAAAAATGTAAGGCATAGACAGTGATGTTTAAGTTATGGTTGTTACGCATTTATTTCCTCGCAAATGTGTTCGTATGACATACGCGCGGTTTGATAATTAGTCTCTGCCTTCTTATACTAGAGGAGCTGGATGGCGCCAGTGGTTAGCGCATTCGGCTGTGGTCGTTGAAGTTGAGCAACTTTCGCAGTGGTCGGTCATTGGATGGGTGACCAAAAATTTACTTTAGTCCTATTTAACGGAGAATCCTACCAGAATAAGGCCTAATGCCTTGGTACATACTAGAGGTGTAAAAGTAACGAAAAAAGGCGTACCCGTAGGTATTCGTTACTTTAACAATTAGTACTCGTTACTATAGTATCGTTACGTTACTCGTTACTTCTCATAAAAAAATCGGTTTTACTATTTTGAAATTTTTAACCGTGAGCTTATGTTATATCACAATAACATCGCAATCCATTATTCATCAATTATAATGATAAAGCAACAAATAGGTATCGAAAATTATTTTATTTATAATAATACTTAAATAGCATTCTAACGATAAATCAACATAAATATACAGTTTGTCTATAAAGTCGTGACATTAAATGATGGCGCCACTACTATGCATGTAGCAACCCTATACAGTCGGACCAAAATGATTTTGATACTAGCAGTTCATTCAAGTAAAATAGGTAAGTAATAAGACACACTATACAGTCGTATTTTGTTTCTGTTTTATATATAGTAGGTACCTATGCTTATAAAAAGTTTAGCCAAGCATATTTAATTGAATCAGAATAAAATTATTATAGATAAAATAGTACTTTATAGTGTAAAAGTGTGTAATGTTGGTGATTACCGCTGAGGTGCCATTGAGACCAGAGCCGTTAGGTAATCATCAATACACACAAGTATCATCATACGACGTTTTTTAACACACTTGTTAAGAAAATAATACTAAAAATCATTTAATAGTACATAAAAAGTTTATTTAGAGAAACAATTTGTAAACGTGCAGTCAGTAAAATTAGTGATAGGTATCTTCACTAAAAGCATCTGGCCATGGTTCTTTATGTGACCATTTCTTTCTTTGGTCGGCCTTGCCTGTTTTCCCAGGAGTTTCAAACTTTCCATTATTCTTAAAACCTTCGTTGACTATCCGACTCTCTGATTTTCCTGAAAAAAGGTAAAAAAACATTTAACGGAATAGAAACAACAACTGTTGTTTCTATTCCGAGAATTGACATGAAGCAATTAATTCAAAATTGGTAGAAAACCTGATCGAGTTGAACCATAATAACGTATCAAAAGAAATGGTCGTACTACAATATTACCTATTTACAATGTCAATCTAACCTAAAAATGTGCAATGTAAACAATGCCTTTTTTGGTCTTAAAATCGTAAATTGAGTAAAATTGTAACTTCAGGCAGAATACAAACAAATAGTTACACGATTACATACCCGTCATAGATGCTGTTCGCCCATAAGCATCATCCAAATCCCACAAAATTCGTCCAGCTTGGTAGTCTTCGAAACATCGCAGGCAAACTTTAAAAATCACTTCCCGCGTGCCACTCTGATTTACTTTACTCATTTTTATACCTTTCTGCGTAGTTTCGTCTTAATTTATTACAGTTTAATCCAAACAATAAAAAATACAAAAGGAAAACTGTTCCACAACTGAAACTCGATGACAGCTGATGTACACAAGTTTGGTGTTGCCAGACACATGAATAATGTTAGTTCCCCAAACATTCATGTCACGACTTTATAGACAAACTGTAGTTTTGTTTGCTTAGAATGAAATTAAACATAACGAAAGAAAGAAATACTACAAAAATCTTTTGTTCTCAAAATAAAATTATAAAAAAATAAAAATATTTTAAATGAAATCTATCAAGTTGGCTTTTTCGATAAGCTTCAGTCAACACGATGATAAAGTTCTCACGTCCATTTGACCGGAATAGCGTATATTTTAACGATTCCACTAATTCTTCTGTTACGCAGACGGTTGTAACACAAAATCACACCAATTTCCTTTCACAATATCCACTATGAACGAATTTAAGAATAAATAAAATAAGACGCCAACCGCACTCGATGAAATCCCGCCAAAATATCCAACGTACGTTTTTAAATTCTCCGAATATGCTCGCGCATGCTTAAAACGTACGATCAGTAAATGTTTCTTTACCTGAGATTAAAACAAAAAGGGTAGATACGGTACGCTCATACTTGCATCAAACAAAAACTGATCCCACGGCAGCGCGAACGGGACGGCGAGATTCGCGTCACTGCATTACCGACCCGAATGAAATAGTACGTTAAGTTTCAACGGCAGCGCGAACGAGAGGGCGAGATCCGCGTCACTGCACTACCGACCAATCACGCGACCAGTACTCGACGTTACTACCGAATAAGATTCAAAACAAACAGCAATTTTTATGAAAAAATATATTTTATAGTACTTACGAATGAAAAGTGATGCCGTGGGTTTTATTTTAAGTTCTTGAGCAATTTGAGCACTTTTTAAAAACACACTTAGGCATTGTTTTATCATATAAACACAAAATATTAGCAATATTTCTTTTTGGTGTTCACATGTACGTCGTTTGCATGTCAAGTTGTGACTAAAGCGATTAAGGTCGTGGATCACAATTTATGCGGATCACTTTTGTGAGGCTAGTGCCGTATCTACCCTTTTTGTTTTAATCTAAGTTCTATACACACATCAACTGTACTTGCGTAAACTGAAACATATAGATATAGTCATACCAGTCATACTACGAAAAATGCGAGTAACGAAATTTATTTGTGCGTAACGTTTCGTTACTCGGTACTAGATGGCGGACCCGTTACTCAGTACCGAATACATACGGTTTGCTTCAGCTCTAGTACATACCGAGCACATATCTGCAGTCGATGACGACGGGCATACTGCAACCGCCTTGCTTCTTCGCGGCCCGTTCGACGTACTGCCTGATGTATTCTACACTGGGGAAGTAGAGGCTATTTCCCACCGTGACTAGAACGTAGCTGAAACCAGATGCGTTCTGAAAACAAAATACGACGATAGGTTAGGCCAGGTTCATACACACTTGAAAGTCCTTAGGTTAGAATTGGCTACTGAATAGATTTCAATAAAAAAAAAAATATAAAAGTTAATTCCGACAAAATAACCGTCATTAATTCGAACTAAAAGAATATGATACATTACAAAAGGTAATAAGAACTATTTTTAAATGCAACGGCACATTAAATTATATTACTAACATTGATATATTAATGGTTAAACTGAATAAATAAAAATTACTGAAATTTATTCCTTTGTATATCTTTACCAAACTACTTTCAGGGCGTGCGTTTTTTCTGATACACGTTGTATAGATAGGTTCTGGGTATAACGTCTTTACTGCACCATAATGTTTACTTAGCGTGACAATTTCTGTCCAACTGTAGTCGTGCGCTGGGATACAGTAGCAACATCACATTGATGGCCATCGCAGCAAATATGCTTAACTCCACGCCGATCGCCAGACACATAGCGAACGTTGCAAAGATTATCTTATCGAATTTGATTTTAATGGCAAAGTTCAAGAATTTTGCCGAGCAGTGCCGTGTCCGGCCATATACCCACGAATAGTATTTTGACTTACAACATAATGTTAACATTTTAGTTAAGAGCAGAAATTGATACGATGCATTTTGTTTTCTGTGAATCATCGATATTGCGGCACTGTTGCAAGTGGCATGACCACGGAGTTACTCCGTGAAATCCAGTTAAAATGCGACCTTGGAAGTTTAAAACAATGTACAGGCAGTCCTCGTACTTACGGCATGTTAGGTTCTCGAAATAAGCGACGTTAATCGAAATGACGTAAGTCGAGACATCCCCACGGACGCTGGCCCCTAAGTGTATTCTCCTATGCCGGAAATCGAAAAAATTGACGTATGCTCAAGGAATAGTGTCAAAACATTGTTCGACGTAACATGAAACGACGTAAATCGAAACGACGTAAGTAGAGGACTGCCTGTATTATAAAGTTAACTTACCGTGACAATTTCTGCATCCAACTGTGGGCGTGCGCTGGGATATAGTAGCAACACTACATTAATGGCTATCCCGGCCAATATACCCAACTCCACACCGATCGCAAGACACAGAGCGAACGTAGCAAACGCCGGCACCAGATCCGCGCGTCTCGAATGCCACATCGGTTTCACTACCTAAAAGTTACAACCAGAAAATATCACAATCTAATCTATGCTGTATACCTCCACGTCGATTCTGCGACATGCAATCTTACATCTCACGTTCTTAGATTAAAGCCAATTTTAATGCATCGCCAGTCTAAAACAACTTTTTTGTTTGAAGTTAATAAAACATGGAATGGAGGCTGTAACATCACTTTCTTTGGAATTCTAGTGCAAGTGGCCCCAACATTATTTAAGTGAAAATTTTATTACGTCGCCACATTTTTTTTCCTTGATCGTTACATCGCATGTCGCATTACATCATTAATTGTTATTTAAAAAAATCAGGCTTTATCAATCGCATTTTTTATAAACTGAGTGAAGTATCAGTTTCAAAGATCAAGGTTGACTTAACATCTTTAACTGAGGTCCAAGCGCAAACTGATAGCTCCGTATCGTATCGCATCGTCAAAGTTTCTATGAAACCTAAGCAGCGGAACGCTTACTGGATTACCGGATGTAAGAAGTAACTGACTATTTCCATACAAAATTTGACGATGACTATACGTTTACGGAGCTGTCAAACTTCGTGCTTGAGCCTCTGTACTCTGTGAGAGTTAAATGACATCATTTACTTGATAACATTATTCAATTCAATTACTCAACGGAATTAAAATATGCACGGGGCTCATTATTGTTATCATTCCATTTGCATATCTAACCCTTGCGTTATTCCTGAATTAGCTTATCTTCAATTTAATTGACACTTAATACTGGATCATTTATAATAACATTGACCTTAAAATTTTGTTATGACTGTGTGGATTGTCTCAATGTAAAAATTATCACTAATATGTCATTGTCCTATTAGTGATAATTTATATATATGTTAACATAACCATTACACTCAATTTGAGAGAAAGAAAAATATTACAACATACATATAATTATGGACGGTATTATAACTTGCCTAAAGTCTATATATATCGCACATTATCACTGATTTTTTTTTGAGAGAAGGACAGAATGTCATTGCCATTGAAAGAATGCGTTGTTCATTTTCGATTATTTTATTTATTATTGCGAGTTATAGGTACTATGTTCGCCATTTCCGTAGGTCTGTTGTGTAAGCAATTAGCAACATGCTACCGTAAAGCAATTGAGTAATAATAACTCGTTTTCACTTATAAAATCTCAAAGAATTCCATATCGTTGTTCAGAACAGAAATGAGAGGTTCCTGGTTTTATTCCGAAAACTATTCAGGTCTAAGAACTACATAAAATATGATTAACTAATAATCAGATCATAATGTTATATACTTCATATAATGCAGATGGCGCTGATTAGGGTAAATAAAACTAATACAGATCAACAGAACACTTATTTTCAGAGCCTACTCAATATTTATATAAGTTCGTTAGGCAAAGGATAACCGTCGGCTCTCTGCCCTCTACCTAAATCTAAAATCACCCAGACATATCATATCATGAACTGCCAAAGCGAATGTTGCATAACTTTCATGATATACACTAACTACAGCGCCATGATGCTATTTACTTACCTCATATTCTATCATAAATATCACAGCAGAGATTATGACGGCCGCAAGCGATGCCTTAGGTATATAGTAGAAGTACGGCGTGAGTAAACTCAACGCTAGTAGGACTAAAGCGCCTGTGGATAGAAAAAAATGATAAGATTTGGAAACCAATGACATAGAGAATGGACTGAATGAGTTTGATTACTCTCTAGAAAGAGAAAAAACGATCGAGGACAACAAATCAAACAAACAAATCGGTCAAAAAACGTGTGAAAGAGACGAATAGATCCTGCTCGCGTTCGAGTTTGTCTAATAGTCTATTTGACGGTATGAAAAATAAAGTACCAATTATTGACATGTGTATTTACCATAGATATTAAAAGTGATTTCACTATAATGAGAAAAAAAAACTTATTTAGCGATTACTAAAAATCACGAAATTGAAAAGATTTTTTATGAATTGTCACGTTTTCAGGCGAAAACGCCTATGATTGGGAGAGCCCAAAATGACGTCACCTGCTTCTAAACATCCTGATTAAGTGACATTACTTTGTACTACTGTATGATGTTTTAATGAGAACCGTGTGTCGTCACGTGCCTGTAAACACTGTAAGAGAAACGTTACCGCGGCATATTTTAACACTATTTTTTTTCTGATATACGCAATAGAATTATTAAATCTAGTTTTTGTGTCACTCACACTAATAAATAACGTACAAAACATTTCAAAAACTTGTCAAATATCCTATTGCTGGTTAATGAATACTCAGTCCATTCTTTCTATGTATATGTTAGAAACCTCACATCTAACTAATTTATTTTAATTAAATATATTTATTTCACATAAAACAGTTAACATCAAAAAATTGTGCGCATATCGGACACTGAATAATCACTTCTATTACCTGTATATAGACTCCCCATTTGCGTGGCAACTCCACTTGCGTGGTTGACGGCGCTTCTTGAGAATGAACCAGTTATAGGCATCGCAGTCACAAACGAGCCCAGTATGTTAGAAAAGGAGAGAGTGATCAACTCCTGAGTTGCGTCTACCGTTTCTCCACTTGCTGGAAAGAGAAAAACATATTTATCGATATATTGTCTAATAAAAAAAAACGCTGTGTTATGATCTTTTCTGTCTTACGTTAACTTTACTAAGATACTTGCAATCTTGTCCCATCAAATGGGGACTTCTGAATGTCACTGAAAACGTGTTTATTTTGATTCAGAAATCAATATATCTTTATTCAATTTGGATGTGTAGTACAATTCTTTTGAATCGTCCAATCATTTCTTTTCCCTACCACTCGTTATTGGACATATTTTTTAGCTGCGGAGAAAAACGAGCGAAAAAGACTCCATAACATTAAAAGTATAATGTAACAACATTTACAAATCATTATGTTGTTACAACGTCAATACAATCATGATTTATCTAATATCTTTATATATATAATTCTTCTGTGAGTGTGTATGTCACTGAACTTCTCTTAAACGACTGGACCGATTCTGATGAAATTTTTTGTGTGTGTTCAAGGGGATCTGAGAATGGTTTAGATTCACAAAGACGTGTAGACAGGACAACGTCTGTCGGGTCCGCTAGTATATGTATATATATTTTAATAAAAGTAATACAAATTAAAATATTCGTTATTCAGTTAAATTTTTCCAAAGTGATCAATCTGTGTATCCTTTAAATGTTATCCAATCTTCTTGAAAATAGGCATGGATAAGTTTTATATCACTGAGACTTCGGAGGAGAGCCAAGTCGGCAAAGAAATACATATTTTTTTTGCCTAACAAAATGAAACACTCAATGAAACAATAAAATAAAATAAAAAATAAATATCAGGCAACATCACATACATTGATCTGATTCCGAGATAACTAGCTAAATCACTTGTGTTACGGATATCAGAATCAACAGTGGTATTACAAGTATATAAATAAATAAATATATATATATATACCCAGACACAGAACAAACACAAATGTTCATCACATGAACGTTTGTTCTGGGTGGGAATCGAGCCCACGACCCTTGGCGCATAAGGCAGGGCCGCTGTCAATGCGCCACCGAGCCCGTCTTCTACAATCTTCGTATATTCTTTTTATGAAGGAAAAAATAACTCATATAACTTAAAGCTTGTTTATTGTACTTGGAGAAAAATAAAAAAAAACAAAATTTGCATAACTGCTAAAGATACGTATTAGTAGCGAAAAAATAAACTTACCAAATGCTTTAGCGATAGCTACATTTCCCAATACTCCTATAACGGGAACTAGCACTATGGAGGAGCCAAGATCCGAGCACATCTCCAGGAAAGTTACGTTCCTTCCGCCGTATGATGTGCTAAAAGGAGGAGCGGTCCAAGAGGGGAGACCTTCTCTGAAAATATGTGAGGTATTAAAACAATAATAAATTTAAATAGGTACAATCAAAGATATTTAATACCCCTAGAAACACCACTTGCGCTCACAATGTGTCCCAAACAAGAAGTGCTAAAAACACCACTCAAGCACTTCTTGGTTTATAGTTACGCGCGTACCGTTCAAAAGACAACAGACAAAAATAGCGAAAAAAAATATTTTAGTACGAATTGTTTTTTGACAAGTATCTAACCAATGTTTGTTAATTCAACGCATTTGAAACAAAAGGAGATGGTTCAAAAGTGGTAGTTGGTTTCCGGCAGTGACAGAATATTAAATCATTTGAAAGCTTATTTTATTTGTAAGTATGCTGGCTACCCTGTCGTATGTAACATCATATTTTTAGTGTGTGGCAGCTTATAACGACCACTCATTCACTACTTATAGCAAATGTCAATCAGTTCGGTCATGCATGATATTCGTAAAATCGTGGCTAACTTATACCAATTTATGGTTGATTCTGATTATCCATTAAATACCTAATAATGTAAAGAAATATGAACAAAATAATTATCACTGCCTTAGTTACCTATTGAAAAGAATACATTTGATGCTTTGGCGACAAAAAATAGATAATAAACTAGCCATTTTCCAAACAATAATGAGATAATTTTCTATTATAATAATTAAATATTTGAAAAAGCGGAGGTAAAATAAATTCTAGTTTTTTGTCAAACGATCTACAATTAAGTGCACTAAATCTCACAAAAAATTGAGTCTGCTGCAGACTCACTACCGCGTTCCATACAAATTTGAACCGCGTCCGTTGTTCTAATACTAACTATAAACTAATTTAATAGAAAATATTTGTGATAACCACATGCATGGTCGGTGGTATAGCCGTCTAATTTCCTCGCGATCCGTATCAGCTATATTGCTAACAGCGCATTCAGAATTACGATATAGAGTCATGAATAGTCTATATTCTTCCGCCTATATCAACAAGTCGTAAAATTTTACGAGTTTGCATTTCGAACTGTCATAACTTTTTGACGCATGCGTTTGAATTAAGACTTTAATGCATACATTAATGGAGACTGTGAGTTTAAATAATGCTTTATATTGTTTTTGACTCCGCGAGTTTTTTTTAGTTGACATTTTTGATAGTTTTTAGCCATTATTTTGTTCGTGGTGTTGTATCTAGGGTATTAAATATCGTAAAGTACAATTCATAACAAGGGGAAAAAACATTAATTAAATCCTTAAACACAGTATAGTTTATTTTATTAATTTTACTTCATACTGATGCCGCCAATTCACTTGGCTATTTGTATTTGCTGTTTGTCATTTTGACAGTGGGTTGTTTTCAAGGTTACAAATAGCAAACACGAATATCAATGTGAAGTGCCGGGATAATATTATATAATTAAATATGAAAGATCCTCATTGACTCAGACAAAAAAGGCTGAATGGATTTGGATGAAATATTATACACAGACAACTTAAGAGACTGGTAAGAGTACACTTTTTGACCCGGAAGTGTTAGGTTCCTGTGGGATTCCCAAAAAACTAAAGTTAAAACGGACGAATTCGCGGGCAGACGCTGTTGTAATAATTTTCAGTTTGACGTTTACTTAATAGGCTATTTGTCAGTATGAAAAATAATGTACCAATTGTTGGCATCTGTAATTATTATGAATATTAGCAGCGATTTTACTATTCTGAAAGAGAAAATAATCTATAACTTTTCTATATAATCAATAAATAAAAATGATTTTTTTGCTCCATGGTGACGCGACCGAAAAGCCTGGGATTGGCTCAGACTAAAATGACGTCACATGCTAGTATACTTCCGACTAAAGTGACATTGCACTGTATCGTTTGACGTTTTAATGACATTCGTGTGACGTTACACACTAGTGAGACGCCATAGTGTCTAGAGGAATGTTCTCGCGGCAACTTGTAAATTGAATTTATAAATTAGTTTTTTTTTTACTGAATCACACAACAGAAGTAAGTATATCCACTTTTTATGGACTACATAAACATTAGTAAATAACGTGAGATGGTTCTCTAAAAATTGTCAACCCTATTATCACTACAGAGCCTCCTAAGGATAAGAACAGAACTATTTGAGCGTCTTTCTTACAATGTTCTAGCATTAATTACGTTCGGATTCCTATTAGATTATGGAATTAATCGGAGATGGATTTGATGACTTCGTATCGGAGGGTTTAATACTAAATAGAGCGTTGCCCCTATTAAGGCTTAGTTGTGGTATTACTAACGACCCGGATTTTCCTTTGACTAAGTCTTTCAGCAAAATGAAAGTAAATAGCATATTATAATATTTATTATTCTGTACGTGGATTTAAATTAATGTAAAATCAACTTTCAAGAGTAGATCGATATCTACGTAGCGTATGGAAGTTAAGAATCTTTCGCAATGGTCGGTAATATGATAGGTGACCAAATAATTTATTCTCGAGCTCTTAAGGTACATTTTGGTTAAAATTCGGCTGCACTCATTAACCTACCAATCCCCATCAGGCCCGTGTAATGGGTTATGTCCGTTCACCGTATTTCCTTTGTGGGGAAGGTCTGTGCCCCATCAACAAAGCCATTAAATAGGTTGATTTAAGCGTAGTAATACCAGCGGTCGCCCGCGACTTCGTCCGCGTCAGCTAATGTATTCTGAGAATCCCACAGAAACCTAACATTTTTCCGGGATAAAAAGTATCCTATGTCTCAATCCAGGTTATAAACTATATGCGTACCAAATTTGATCCAAATCCGTTCAGTAGTTTTTCCGTGATTGAATAACAAACATACAAACTTTCACATTTATAATTTTAGTAGAAGTAGGACTAGTAGGAAGTAGGATAAGGTTTAATAAACCTCCAATGAATAGAAATAGGGTAAAGAATGGTGACTTACCTTACAGTGCCAGTCAATTTGAACAAGCCGATGGAATATGTTTCCATAAAGTAAGCCGTTACTGAACATAATATGACCACGAGCGCGTTTCTCGACGTCGACAATAACCATAGAGCTTTCTTAAATTTTTTTCTTCGTGGGGAAAGATTTATGTCTTTGATTTTCTGTAACGATACATTAAATAATTATGTTTTATTTTTTTATCAAATTCAACATTTGACAAGGTTTAATTGAATATTATTGTTATAACAAAAATAAAAAATATTGTTGTTATTATCTAACAACAATATTTTCCAATAACACAAAAAGTTATTAAATATACTTACTCGCATTAACAATAGAATAATTATGCATGAAATACCCAGGGTACTATCAGCCAACCGTGAATTTGGAATATTTTCAAATACCTGGAAAATGGATTTAGTAATATTAATTTTATCGGATTTAGTAATATAAATATACCGTAACAATGCTTGGCCAGACTGCAAACGGGTAGCTAACTTTTTTCTTAGTCTATAAGATAGATTATATCATCAAAAGTATTGGACATGTATTTTTCCTTTACTCACATAATCAAAACATTACAGAGATAGGTATATTGGTTTGAAATGTTGCATGAAGTCACGTCTTGGTACAATTTTTACTTAGAAGTGACGTCACGAGCCCCCACTCCCAAACTTTAACGTACTTTATGCTTTAGATTGATTGACTCATAAAAGCCAAAATTATCGTTCATTTTTTTTTATATCTAACTGACGGGCTAAATAGAATTTCATTGTATTTACCCCGTCATCGTGCCTTTTGTCCGTAGCGCGGCCAACGCAAGATGCACGCGCTCCGCGTCGTTTGTATGAACGCGCTACGGCTTAAGTGCGTATTCCATCTCACAAAATTCAGACGTCCTAAATGATCCAGTAACTTCATTATTTTTAATGTCTCGTAGAATAGATCTTGTTTTGAATGTACGGTATTACAAGATTTCATAATGTGTTAAACGATCTGAATTCTTAAGTAATTTCTAAAGTCTGCTGGCTCCAAGTAATACTACTTACTTCGTACTATTCGCAAGTGGAATTCTTTTCATCTTTTTTATTTCCTTTAAGAGGCGTGAAGAAGCATTTTTGCAGGCCGGCAAGGTGAGGATGGTTGGTGTGGCAGTTTATAACTGCTGTACCAGCTATCTTCGCGTTTGGACTCTATCACCACTTAACATCAGGTGGGGTAGAGTCTTGCCTACCTGGTTTTAAAAAAAACTTAATGTGTATGTTAGATAATTGTTCGCGCAGCAGGAGATGTTCTTTAAATTAAGTTTTTCGGTTTTACATTTATTTTTATTGAGCCTACGTCCACACCTACGAGAAGACCGAATCTTGTTGCTTTGGCAGGATTGGATTTGAGCTATTACCAAAATAATCGAACGCATTTGCCGCACTCCCGCAACTGAATCGGTAACTAATCAAGAAAAGTGTAATCAGAAGCTTTTAATTAACTTACTTTTTAGGATCCTAATAAAATTAGTCCGTCAGAATTTAGTCAGATGGACGCTTTAAGTCACCCGCGTCTTCCCGCGCCCGCGTTCCCACTATGGACACTCGAATTCATATAATTTGGATTACATTGCACCGTGCCTGCCTTGCGCCCACGTTTGCAATCTGGCCGAGCATACAGTGATAACCTTTATTATTTTAAAAGAATCGGATCTTTTAAGCCAGTAGAAAGTTAAACATTGGATACCGACAGAAATACACAAAAAAAAAACAAGAGCACACACAATGTGGCCAATTGTAGTTTGAGGAACGAGCAATCATGCGGGTCATGTGACATAATGCTCTTAGCTATGGAATCTGATCGCAATCAATCTGATGACGTACCTTCAGTTCTCATTAATAAATTACTAAATCTACACTGCTCTTAAGTATTGTTTATAGAATAAATCAAGAGGCTGAAATTTTTACCTTTTGTAATGTGTCCAAAAATCCAGCGGATTTGAACTGCAAACCCAGTAAACTCTTTATTTGGGAGACTGCGATGATGACAGAAGTTGCCGAAGTAAAGCCTACTGTCACAGGAACCGATATGAAATCTATTAAAACACCTGTGTACAAGAACATACAAAAGCGTTAAGAGAGCTAGTAACTTTGTGAGGAAGCGAAAGAAAAGTAATATTTGCGTTCACACTGCGAATGTTCGCTTCACTTAGTTATTTCATTAGCATGAGCGAAGCTATTTGTTTCGTTTGCGCCTAATATGGCCTGCGTCTAGTAAAAATATAATGGTTCATTTCTCTTTTCGCCAATCGTTCTCTCATTCCTGAGCATGGCGAACATTTAACTAAAATAGCAAAGAAGAGTCCTAAAAATACGACAGCGCCATCTAGTCACTCTGGGTGAACCTAGATAGCTTGCAATCTTCGCATGGTTTTGGTAGATTTCAACATCTACCAAAACCAACAGATAATTGAATACTGTCTTTCATTTGGGCACCCATTTTACAGGTAGTTTTCTAAATTCTAACTCACGCAATTTATATGCTTAGGAAAATGTGTCAAATCTTTAAACACACGAGATAAATATGAATAGATGCTATTCGGAAGCAATCCGCTATGTCTAATATTTTTTTTTTTAACAGAATAGGAAACGCGATGGATTATCCAAAGCTATAGAGCCTGGATACCACTTAGTGACCAGATTCATACAAATTAGATAGAGTTTTAATAGGCTCGGTTACAGACCTCTATTTGAAGATGACTAGCACGCTGTTAATTTTATGCTAACAGCGGTAGAACAATCAAGTTTTCAACTGAGATTTCTTTCGTAAAACATAATTGGAACACTTGATAATGTTAACAAAGGATTTAATTATTTTATTTCCACATGTGATGACTGTCGATCTCTATATTAATCCATTAAGAGATATTTGCAGATGCTCCGTTAAACTTTCGGTCCCAGGTGTTGTTGTAATAGTCGACAAAGCTGCAAACTTTTTATGAGATGCGGAAATATTCTTGCCAGTGAGTTATTTATGATAATAGCTTGCTTGCCAAAAAGACATTTCAGATTTTCTTTATATTATCTATATTTCCAATTCATAGCTATTATTTTTGTAGTAAATAGACGCGCTCTGATGAAACTAACTCAAAATTAATAACAACATTATATATTAACTAGAAAGGCCCTAAGATTTAAAGTTACAAAAACACAAACAAGTAGGTAATATACATTTAGGGAAGGCGGTCGTTTAGAAACTCAACCTTAGTTAAATTTATACTATTTATTCAGGGGTTTATGCATTTATAAGCGTATTTAAACCAATAAGATAAAATAATTCTAGGATCTGAACATTGCTCCTTGAATATCATTATTAATACACAATTGTAATTTTAATATTTCTAAAAGAAATGCATAACTGTAAGTTCTGATAAAGAAGCTACCACAAATACTTATTTTAACATTTTCTAAGACCAGGCAGATTTGGAATAGAAGTAAGACTTTTCTCGGAACAGTGGAATAATTCTTTGATCGTACGAAATTAAAAGTAAATTTGTTAGTGCTTGTAGTTGGAGAGCTGGAACCAATTTTTCGGTAGGTATTTGAGGTAAGCTAAAAACTTGTATTATACCTCTCCTATTACCCCAACACGTAACTGCAGACCTAGCTAAGGTGACCCTATATTTAAAAAAAAAAACAAAAATATATTTGAGGCAATATGTAATTTTTATTAGTTGTAGGCCAATGTTTACAGAATATAAAAAAAATAAGCCAAACGATTTAGTTGGGGTTTTAATATTGCCAGATACGTATAAAAAAATTTTGAAATAAAATATAAAATATATTTTTGAGGCAACTTGAAATTTTAACAGGGTATTATTTATGATTAAAACATAAAATTCTCAAAAAGACAGACATGGCTATTGTAAGTCACGTGACCTCGCCCGAACCAATAGTAATGCAGCAAGTAAAAACGCAGACAGCTGCCGATAAACGCTCTCTCTCATTCTACAGCTTGTCTATAGCGCTACGCACTCGCACCTATGCATAATTTAATTGTTTTTTGAGAATCTTATTTTTTTAATTATAAATAATAACCTAAATAAAACTAGTTTTTACGGGTTAATGCACGAAACTTTATTTATTTATTGACGTTTCGCAGCCTTTTCAGGTCTGCATCGTCAGAATAATGATTTTATTTAAAATTGTCGAGCTACCTTCGAAAGAATTATGAAACGTCAATAAATAAATAAAGTTTCGTGCATTAACCCGTAAAAACTAGTTTTATTTAATGAGTGATGTGCGTGAAAACCTAAGAAACAAATAATAACCTGTTAAAGTTTCAAGTTGCCTCAAATACATTTTTTTCCCAAAATATTTTTGTACGTATCTGGCAATATTAAAACCCCAAGGAAATCGTCTGGCATATTTTTTTTATATTCTGTTAACATTGGACTACAACTTATAAAAATTACATATTGCCTCAAATATATTTTTGGACTTTTTTATTTTATTTTTTTAATTTAGGGGTTGATTTAGCCGCGCTACTCACCAGCCAGGTCTGTAGTTCCGTGTTGGGGTATTATTGGAGAGGTATAGGACAAGTTTTCAGCTTGCCTCAAATACCTACCGAAAAATTGGTACCAGCTCTTGGACTATTGCGGTAAACCCCTGGACTTAACTTACATAATTATGCGGTTGTATAAAATGTAAGATTTGTAATTACATACATACCTAATTGAAGTATTCCCATTATAAGCTGCACTACTCCCGTGAGAAAGCAGAGTAATACAGCATAGTCCGGGTTTCTGTTTTGGATTTGCTGATATGTCATCAATGCCATGAGGGCCGTTGGTCCTAGTGTGATGTCTTTGCAGGATCCAAAGAAGATGTAAACGAAGCAACCCATGAACGAAGAATATAAGCCATACTGTAAAAAATCTTATTGTGAACAAGGGTTTTAATTAAACGTACATTTTGTTAACGTATAAGAGTAGCTACATTCACCTTTTATAAGGTTCGGAATAGACGTTCTATCTGATTCCTAAATGACGGCAGAAGTTTAATTAAGTACTACGCCTGTCGTAGGCTTTTACCGAAACCCGGTGTTTAATCAAAATGAAATTTTACATAGAACAAGAAAATGTGTGCCTTGGTAACGTTTTTAATCAAATCATATTAAAATAGTTAACGGTACCTGAGGATCTAAACCTGCTAGTGTGGCATACGCTAGAGCTTGTGGTATTACTGTAAGGCCAACCGTTATACCCGCTATGACATCAGCAATAGCTTTCTCCGAGTTATAATCCGCTAACCAATTTGCTATAGGCAATCTTTTGTACATCAAACGTTTGCACCATGTCTGTCTTTTTAAGCGTTTTTTTGATGGCGATGTCATTTTGTGAGTCTGCGGACAAAAGAAACAAAGTAGGTAATTCAAAGTCACTTTAGCAAAAGCAGTTTGAGTGACACCGTGTGTAACGACTTATGGAAAGTATAAATGGAGTGAATTATGAACTTCGCGTCAACGACACCCAATATTTAGTTCATCGATCCCAAGTTAATATACGCCTTATTGAAAATTTGTTTGGTATATTTTATTGAATTTACGCTAGGATTATTTTCAAATTATATTGATACAAAATAAATAGAAATTTTCTCGAGAAGCAAATCAAGACAAACAGCAGCAAATAATGTAATAGCGTTGAATATCACCAAAGGAAACTCTTGTTTCCGATAAACAATACAAAAGTAGACAAAAAGAAACAACACACAACTTCCACGAACATGATAAAATAATATATTGCGGTACAAAACTTCTTAACATTGTTCATTTCCTATTTCTCTATTGTAAGAGAACTTTTATTTTCAGTGAGCAGTCTGAATCAAGTTTTTTAGTTAATTTGTTTCAGAGTTGGAGTAAGATACGTGAAGTTGTGAGGGTAAAATGTTTCAGTACTCCACTCGATACATTGGCAAATAGTGCGCATAAACAAAACTCGGGTAAGAGCCAATTTGTGTGATGTGCTACTACCTATATGTACTTAGGTAATCAATATAGCCAATATGACAGCGAAGCGTCTCCCCTAACATTCCCTCCACGGGGAATATTGGGCCAGTTGATTTAATTGAAGTCCCTTTGTGTAGCATACTTCCAATTTCCTAATACACGCTCTACCCTCAGCTGGACATCTACTAACGAAAACCAAAAGGGTCATCGCTACAGAAGAAAGGGCCAAAATAATTGATGTTTTATTGTTAGATAAAACAAATATTAAGGTCTTTATAATATTTTCATAATCTATTGTCCGAGATAATTAATGAAAGCACTCCAAGGGTCACCCTTTTATCTTTTACATACCGATCCGATAGGAAAGATACATGTAAATGTTTCATTAAAGGACAATGTTGACCAAATAATGAAACACGGAAAAGCTTTTTAACTTTCGTGCACTTCGTATTAGAGTCACCAACTGTCTTCCTTGATCAAAGATTTGCAGCTTTCCTGCAAATTGGGGAACAAATCAATTACTGTCAATTTCACCTCTTACAAGATAACTATTGAGGGGAAAATTACCTATTAAGGCAAAGGGAGGCAAGGGCGTTGGTCATGTTCCAGATAATATTGTGGTTGTGGTCCGTTGTGTTAATTTGCGATGAGATGTAACATTGGCCTAATAAAACCTTCGGTGAACAATGTCGGAGGGGCGGCTTTGTTGCCTGAACCAGGTGGGTCTAAGCAATTATTTGCTAAAATTGGATTGAGGATTTCCATTAACTCTCTGTTTGTGTTTGTACATCTTGGACGCCGTTAGTTCGTTTGCATTGATACAATTTCGGTGGCGTACAAATTAAATAAGCCACTAATGTATTGTACTGATATGTACGAAAATACGCAAAAATACTTCAGTTCTTTGGTAAGTACAAGTTGGCGCAAAAGTAATCATCCAATTTTGATTTTGTATAACTTCCTTACTAAGTAAAAAAATATTTTGAGTGATAGAACTCTTTATTAGGACCTTTTTTTCTGTTCAGTGGATAAGATGATATCCTTCGATTGGCTAATGCCAGTGTTGATAGACATACACATTTGTTGGTCATACCAAATCGCCAAAATGTAATCGTGCTATATATGGGGTTGCACCGTTTTGTTAAAATCACACATGTTCATGCTCCTGCGGAGTATCGTGCTCCACTGCTTGTCTTTTTTTTATAGATAGGTCCGTCAAATGACTCCACCACACTCTGTTTGTATTCTGCATCTGTTTAGTTCACAAATCTCAAATTGATTGACTCACGACGCCATTTGCAATAATTATTATCTTCCGATACAATGATTACTTTTGCGCCATCCTGTACATACGTACATATATCGAGTGTTAGTATTAAAATGTCATTACAAACGATTGTACTTATAGTACTATTAATAAGTGACTTCCTAGTCCTTTTGTGTCGGATATCGTGTAGGTAATTTATTTCCTTGTTAAATATAGTGTTAGGAGTGTTTTTTTAACGTAATAATAAAAATCGAAACCATTAATAGACTGGTATAGAAATATAATAAGGATATAAAGTCAAGGCCTCGCCAGTGGATACATTAGAACTGACGGCCACAGAGACGATGGAAATGTTAAACTATTAATACCTATGTATGTAGTCTCAATTAGGCAATAGGAAATATGCATGTAATTGAAATTAAGACTCATTTACACGATGCAATTTTCTTGTACATACAAGAGCAACAATCGAATACTATAAATGAGGCGGAATAATTTACCTTCAAGAATTGTAAGCAACTGTTTACACGCGGGCACAGTAAAATGGTTGTATACAATTATTTAATGCTCGTTTTACCAAAAAATAATAATATCAAACGTCTTTTGATTTACCAATACGTTTATGTTTAGGATATTACTGCTTCGAAGTTTTGACGTAATAAACTGCAGCATTTTGCTCGGGAATATGGAGTTGATGGATTTGGAAGTAAAGAAATAACAAACAAAAAAAATGCGTGAGTGTCGTAGAACACTTGGTTGGAACAAAGTTAATAGTAGATTGTTTAATAAGGGAGCAAATAACTATTTTAAAGACGAGAGCGTGTTTTGAATCTAGAACAGGATTATGTAGATAAAAGATTATCACATTATTAGCATACCTTTATTCTGACTACACGAGAAAGACACATTTTTTATAGCATATTACAGTACTACCTAATAAACAGCTGAACAACAGATGAACGAAGGCAAAATTTATATCTAGCGTTTGTATTTTTTGCAGAATGATCACTGTGCGGAATGGGCTTAGTGCGGGATTGGCCCAGTGCTGGCACACATACATTTTTTGTCATTTTCTCAATATTTCTGGCTTCATAAAAGCTGCAAGATTAACACGCCACTCACTTAATGCACTCATGTTTGCAAAAGACCAGTTGAAAGATATTATTGTATGTACCTACTGTTTTCACTAATAAAAGTTTGGAAACAAAACTTTTATGTGCTGTTTAGACCATGCAAATCTTTATTGCGTCAATTTAATGGTATGCAACAGGCAAGAAACTTGCATCATGTAAATGGCCCTTTAGCCTCATTTTAGTTTTATATAAACTCTTTTACTTTTAAGTTGTCCTTCCATCAATATTTGTTTATTAAATTTCTTCCCACAAGTGGGAAATTCAAATATGTATTTGAAACGCGACAAGAGCGGTTGTGACGCAAAGATTGAAATCGCTGTGACGTATTTTTTTTTACATACGCATTTGACCAAAAATGCATGAAACAATGTCTATTTTATTGACATAAGTTTCAACTTCCATCCGCAGTGAAGGTATGAAACGCAAAATCTGAGTATCCTGTAAGTTCATTGATCTTGTTTGCAGGTTCATATGTAAAGTGACGTCACATCCAAATGTTCAAAAATACCCGCCCGTGCAAAGCGGCTATTTTTTTTTTTTTTTATAGGTACTTATTACACTGTTATATTGTTATAAGTACTGTGTAAAAGGACACCCCCTTTATACAGTATAAAAAAGTACTAAATAAAATATAAAAAAAACCAGCCAAACCGGAGGGTTCCGTACAAACCTGAATTTACGGTTTTCGCAATTTTTCCTTTATGTGTACCATAAGACGTTACTTGGTACCAAATTTCAAGATTCTAAGTTCACGGGAGGTACACTGTAGGTTTTGAATCCCGTTTCGAAAATTTGCGGCATAAACGGCTGTATCTTTTGATTGCTTTGGCTTAGAAGTTTGATTTATTCACAGCTCTAAGGGACAGTAGACTTGAGTATTAGATATGAATTTCAGTTTCATACCTCCACGCGTTCCTGAGAAAAACGTTCTTGACAGACGGACGGACGGACAACAAAGTGATCCTATAAGGGTTCCCTTTTTTTCCTTTTGAGGTACGGAACCCTAATAATCATTATTACCTATTGCCATTTTAACAAATAGCGGCTATTAACTTTTAATCAGAAAATAGCTGTATCGTTTGCTGACATGGAATAAATTATCTATGATTATAGTAATGCGATGGCCTTCAAGCAATTTGTTCCACAATGAAATACTTTCGAACGTCAATTGTTTTGTAAAGTCCGCAGGTTATGATTGTTTCGAAGAAATTTTGCACTGCGTAATCTTAAAAATTAACCTTTGAACAATTTAAATAAGGCTGAAAAATATTTGGTTATAAAATAGATAAGTCACTTAAATGTATAGCAAAAATCAGTACTATACAATTACTTGTTCGTATAGAAGTTTACCTTGAAATTCTGACTTCCTGTCGTTTGCCAGGTTTTCTTTGTCGATTATTACAATGAAATAGTTAGCTATTAATGATATTCACGCTTTATTGAGACTAGCTAAAAAGGCTATATGACCAATTCTATTAGCCAGTGGCAGGCAACTAAGATAAAGAGATCTTAGACCAGGGGAGACTTAGGGACTAGGGAGGGAGAATTAAGTTACTTTTAATCACCCGCGATGAATCCGCGTTTAAAAAGGCGAGATGACTGCTGTTAAATTTAGTTTTAAGTTTGTAGAACCATGCCAAAATCTGCATAATTTATTAACTGCTGCATAGGCGAGAGGACTGTTGTCAAATTTAGTTTAAAGTTAGAGAACTATGTCAAAATCTGCATAATTTATTGACTGCTGCATGATTTTGGCGAGATTTACATGTTCGCTTTCTCAGTATAAAAGCTCCGTCGTCGTAGCATGACAACCAAAATATACATTATATCATGTTTTTAATGTTTCGTACCCTAAGGGTAAAAACAGGACCTTATTACTAAGACTTCACTATCCGTCTGTCTCTTTGTCACCAGGCTGTAAATTTTTACGGATGATGATTTCTGTCGCCGCTATAATAACAAATACTAAAAATATAAGATAATCAATATTTAAGGGT